GACGGCAGGAAGCCGTTCTGATCCGAGTGTATAAATTTGTTAAGGAAAAATTTGAGTCTATCTGCCAATATAGCTGCAAAGATTTTATAATCCACATTCAAAAGTGAAATGGGCCTATAGTTTTTAATTTGGGTACGGTCAGCTCCAACTTTAGGCAAAAGGGTTATATAAGCCTCGGCCCATGATTTCGGTGCAATAGAATCCGTCAAGACAGCATTAAATATTGCTATCATCTCTTGTCCTAAAATTTCCTCAGTGTATTTTGATTGGCAACACTGGGAAAAATTTGCCTTGGAGCATTCCTGAGGATTTGTTTTATTTCAGGCAGGCAGTGTGAGTCTACCTTTAAATCAAGGGTGTCGGTCAGGCTATGGAAAAAGCATTTTGTTCTACTGCCAAGAATGCTTGGAGATGCCCATGTGTCTAAAAGAGGACTTTCAACTCAGTTCTGTCCATCTCCAGTTAGAAGCTAATCTAATTGGTTTTGATGGGATCTATTGCAAATTAAGCATGAATGGAAGTATAGCTTTCACTCAGCCCCTAGCATTTCCTTTATACTTATATCACTGATTAACTTCAGCTTTTATGACCTCACAGGAAATGATTATGGTTTGAGAAGATATGAAAGCAATATTTCCAAGCCAGGGGTGGGTTCTGGCTGCCGCTGCTGCCTGTTCTCTCAGGGACGCATCCTGCGCATGCTCAGTTCTGTCTGCACATGCACAGAAGGCAAAAACAAGGTGGTGGTGCCTACGAACCAGTTCGGGAGCATGGCAGGCCTGGGTCGCTGCTGGTACCAGTGACCCAGGCCACCAACTTCTTTTCCAAGCATTCCCACTGCATGCCACTGCTATCTGATACTGTGGATTACTTCAAGTGGGGCACTGTCTTCTGTTGCAAATTCTCATTGGAAGAAGCATCTTCCAAAGAAATAAGGCATAACTGCAATTCATGAAATTCTTTGGGATAAGATTTACAGCCACATTGTAACCTTTTGTGTTGACAATTTTGTCAAGAGAAACCCAAGTTTCACAAGAAGAATGAGAAGCACGCTACATGGAGAGAAGGTAGTTCATTTCAAGAGAAAGGAATCTGCCCTTGAAAGGTGGCTACAAATAGGGGTACAGAGGCTAGAAATATTTATAGAGAAGGTGATCTTTATGGAGGTGTAGTATATGAGTATGTATGTATCTTATATGATATTTAATTTGGTGAACATGTAACTTTAGTGAATACAATTTTTAATTAACTTTTCTTGTGCTTACAGATACTTTTCTTTGGTGTGTGGATTAAGTTGGGGTAACTCATTTGTGAGTTCAAGAAAGTTTGTGTAAGGGATTTTCTCTTTTACTTGATTCAATCAGTTTTAGCTCTGCTGTCAATTATTTGGGCCTGACTCAGCAATCTTTTGCAACAATGTAATTTACCTTTGAAGGACACGGTGGCTCAGTGGTTAAGATGCTGAGATTGTCGATCAGAAAGATTGGCAGTTCAGTGGTTCGAATCCCTAGTGCCATGTAACGGGATGAACACCCGCTACTTATCCCAGATTCTGCCAACCTAGCAGTTCGAAAGCACGTAAAAATGCAAGTAGAAATAGGAACCACCTTGGTGGGAAGGTAACAGCATTCTGTGCACTTTCGGCGTTTAGTCATAGTATAGTGTAGTATAGCCTTTATTGTCATTGTACAAAATAAATGTGACAAAATTGGTTTTAGCCCACTGGTGCAATTCATGACAATAAATGCAAACAACATAAATAGTATAAAGAATAATACCAATGCAAATAATTAGGGGAAAGGAAAAAAAAGAAAGAAAAAGAAAAACTAGTCATACGTTTCTGCGTGTGCGTGGAGTGATTGTGGTTGTGTTTAAAAGTCTGACAGCCCAAGGATAGAAACTATTTTTAAACCTATTTGTTCGGCTGGCTATCCTTTGATGTTTTCTGCCCGATGGTAGAAGTGCGAAGAGACACTGACCAGGGTGTGAATAATCTCTGAGTATCTTCCTTACTCTGCTAAAGCAGCGAGACCTGGCAATGTCATCTAGTGGTGTTAGTCATGCCAGCCACATGACCACAAAGACGTCTTCGGACAGTGTTGGCTCTTCGGTTTAGAAATGAAGAGGAGCACCACCCCCTGGAGTTTGGAACAACTAGCACATATGTGCGAGGGGAACCTTTACCTTTACCTATTTACCTTTGAGGGGTCCTTGGTGCTCTCTGAATTTGGTTGTTTTTTTGGTGACATTTCATTACCCAAACTTGATGACAGCATCATTGCTTATCAGCCTTCATTTCACCCTAACCTACAATATTTTCCTTCATTTGTATTTATCTTTGCTTGCAACATAGTTTCCAGCCTTATCGATTGTGGATTATGCTAATGGTTAAGGAAAAATTAACAACAGTGCAGAGATAGTTAATTTGATTTTAAAATATTTTCCCTGTAAAAGAATACTTTTCATTCTTTAAAATGTGGCAAAAGGGAGAAATGATGTGGTTTAATAGCATGCCGAATGACTCTGAGAGACTGGAGGGAGAGCTGTAGAATAGACCAGTGTTTTTCAACCTTTTTTGTGCAAAGGCACACTTTTTTCATGAAAAAAATCATGAGGCACACCACCATTAGAAAATGTTAAAATTTTTTAACTCTGTGCCTATATTGACTATATATAAAGTGTTTTTCCCACGGCATACCTTACACTATGTCACGGCACACTAGTGTGCCGCGGCACAGTGGTTGAAAGACACTGGAATAGACGACCAGTGTGTTGAAGCTTTCTCAGTCCATTGAAAAAGGGAGGGTGTGCAAAATATTTCAGTAGAGTGGAGTGAAGTGGAGTGGAGTTAGTTGTCCATTTCAAGTCCTGGGAGATTATAGAACTCAGAAAGCTCTCTATTGTTGAAAATCTCTATTATTGATACTGTGTTGTCTAATATTGTAAGAGGTGGTAGAATAGGAGGGCGCCTCCTAAAATCTATTACTATCTCTACTGTTTTAAGTGTGTTCACTCCAGATTGTTCCAGCTGCACCACAGGGCCAGTTATTCAACCTTCCATCTGTATGCAAATTCACAATCATCTCAAATGAAACCAGTGATTGTTGTCTCTCTCTAGCTTAGAAGGGATTTTCTCTAGTTTTCCGGAGAATAAAATGAGAGGAGAAATACTTTCAATCTTGCAATATTCAGTTAATTTTGCAATAAATATAGAACTAGTACTCCTAGTTGTGCTTCTTTCTTAACTAACGTGCAGGCCTAATACATGGGGAATTATCATATTAACTAAATCAAATTTCATTTTTGTCCAGATCTGTTAGGTTTTTAGCACATTTCCGGTGTACAATCTAAAACAGGGTGTTAAACTTGCAGCCTGCGGGCCACATGCATCACACATTGGCCACACCCACACCCAATTTAGCAAAGGGGGGAAGTCATGATATGTCAGTAACAACTCCATGACAATGCAAGTTTGACACCCCTGATCTAAAGGCCAAATGTATCCCACTAAAAATCCTACTCTTAGGTATTTAGGTATTTTAGGTATTTATTGGGATTTATATGCCGCCCTTTTCCCTGAGGGGACTCAGGGCGGCTTACAACCACAGGGGAAGGGAGGTGCAAGGTCAAAACAAAACAATATGTGAACAACAGAAAAATAATAAAACCCAACTTTCATTCAGCAATCAAACATCTTAGGATTTTCCTCTTTTGGTACCATCACTGGGGCAACTCATTTATTTTAATTCTTCTACTTAATGGCACTCAGCAGTCTCACTTTGAAAGACTGTGTCTTCATATGGGGGAAAATATACATTTTAAATAAAATAAAACCCACCATTTGAAAAATGGGGATTTGTTGTTTCCATTTTGATGAAAAGCATTGATTTGAACTAAAAGTTTGATCTTTTCCTGTCTCTCATTCATTCCTTTAGTTCAGGAATTCTTGCAAACTTAACCTTAAACATCCTGCTTTGTGTGTGATTA